AGATGGTTGTGGTCCTTTTGCCAGGGCCAGTAGCCTCTGGGAGGCGTGGGGCCACACCGCCTACCACTACAGCATCGTCCCTGGCATCTTCGCGTGCGGGCTCTGGTACTCGGGGGAGTTCACGTTGAACCCGGCAACGCTCTTCGACAAGATCGTCATCTCGTGAGCGGCGGGCGCCGAGGGACCGCAACCGCCGCCGCCGCCAAGCGCCGACGGGGCGTGGTAGACGTGCGGATGTGCCAGTTCCGTCTTCAGACGCCTGATCTTGTCCTCTTCGGCGGCGTGGCAAAAGGGCACGGGTTGGTGGAAGAAGAACAGATCGGCATGGACATGAACCTTCAGAGGCTGGAGCCCCCCTGCCGTCGCCGCCAGTGGCCCGCTCCGCGCGCCAGGGAGGGCGGTCCAGCGCCGGTCCAAGAAATCTGCGTGGATCGTTAGTGGTGCGTTGGGGCGGGCGGCGCCGCCATGCGGACCCTGTCGCTGGGGCCGTGGGTGGAGCTCCCCATGGGGCCACGATCCTGGTGAGGGGTGCGCCGAGATGCACGGCGCCGACGTGCGGACCCGGCCACTCGGAGGTGGAGCTGTCCTGATTCATTTTAGGGTCACGATCCCCGCGAGGAGTGAGCCGAATCGGGGGGCGGTGCCGCTCCCTTTTGGACCCACGGTCCTCGTAAAGGGCATGTCGGTTTGTCGTAAGGGGTGCGGCTGCGCCATGCGTCGGCGCCCACGCGCACTGAGACCGCAGGCGGAGCTGTCTTTGCAGTCAGTCAGTCAGTCAAAGCCGTGCGTCAGAAGGCACATGAGCAATATGGCACACTTACCGTGCCAAGCAAAATGACCGCACAGCGCGCTTCCAGTCTCGAACTGGGATTGCGCATAAATGTTCGATTGGAACTTGAAGACTGCCACAAACATCTCTTGCAAGTTTGTACACCTCGGCAGGCCACGTCTGTCGCGGTCGGCCGCTCTTCCGCTTGCCGGAGGGGGGGCGGAGGTCGAGGGAGGAAGGTCTAAAAATAGCTGAACGCAAGGGGTGGTCATCACCCTTACAAGCAATATGGAAAAAGTATGTGAGTTGCCGCTGCAAGAGAGTACTGCTAAGCTTCATCCTGCGCGCTCGTGCCAGCACGTCCGCATTAGACACTCGGCTGACGTACGAATGCGGGATCCCGAGGATTCTCCGCAGGCACCTTGCTTGGAAGGCGTCGATGCGGGTCAGCTCGTCCTGCTTCAACCATGCCGTGTGCAAGCTGTACAGTAATTTCGTCTGCACGCACGCCTCGTATATCTGTATCTTTCTATGCATCGGGATGCTGCTGCGGTTCCAGACACGGTGTAAAAGTTCGAACTCTGCCCTCGCTTGCCCAAGGCGGCGGCCCAGCTCAGCCTGCATCGTCCCGTCTGCGGAAAGCACGGACCCGAGGTACACGACGCTTGCCTTCTGGGGAATGACAGCCCCGTCCGGCCTGCGAATAACAGCGTTGCATCCCACGGCCAAGATTTCGAGCTTCCCCCAATTGAAGGTGAGGCCGTAGTTCGCGCCCGCCTTCTCCACTGCCTTCATGTACTGCTCAGCGTGTCCGGATGCGCTCGCGACGATGAGCGTGTCGTCCGCGTACACCAACTCGTCCACCAGTCCTGCCAGGTCACCGAGGCTGTTCTTTGCGTCGTGCAGGAGCACCGTCATGACCATCCCGAAAAGGAAAGGCGATAACGGGCATCCCTGGCAAATGCCCGCTCCTTGTTCTCGCGACGCCGAAATCTGCCCGCACTCTTTCACCGCGAAGCTCCTGGCAGAATAGATGGCGCTCACGGCGGCCAGCACCTCCCGCGGCAGGCCGAACCGGCGCAGCGCTTCGAGGAGAGCATCTGGCATCACGCTGTCGAACGCCTTGGCCCAGTCCAGCGCGAGCAGCACCAGCGGGGACCCCTGCAACGCGCAGGATTCCTCCAAGAGGCGCCGCGCTAAGAATATGGCATCTGCCGTCCCGTGCCCAGACTTGAAGCCGAACTGAGTCTGCCAGATCCTGGCCTCCGCGCCGGCGTCCTTCAACCGGCGCAGGATGATCATGGCGTACATCTTATATCCGGCTTGCAACAGACAGATAGGCCGGTAGTTTGAACATTGAGACACGTCCCCCTTTTTGAAGATAGCAGTTACGAGGGCTTCGTGCCAGGCGTCCGGGACGCAGCCGTCTCTCCAGCACTTCTGACACAGGGCTAGCGCCCATTCCCTCCCCGGCCCCGCGTGCATGCAGATAGCCTTCCACAGTTCCCCGGGGACGCCGTCATGGCCACAAGCCTTGCCCCATCGCATGCGTCGCGCTGCATCGATGATCTCCTCCTCTGTGATGTCACCGGTCTGGACTTCCAGCTCCGGGCCAATCGGGGCAGGTGCCATCGGCGTCGTAGCACGTGGGGCCCATTGAACATCGCACAGGTAGTCGGCCATCGCGTCGGCTCTCCTATCTGATTGCACCACTTCGCCGTCCATCCCGCGTAGGCGCCCATGCCGCGCAGGAGCGAAGCCTCTTCTGAGTTTGCGGACCTGGTCCCAGTCGCCCGTCTCAAGCAAGTTGTTGAGCCAGATCGACCTGTCGTTCTTCACCGACCGCTTCACCTCCACATGCAGACGATGCTCCTCGTCTGTCCGCCCAGAGCGGCGGGCGTCGGTTCTCTGCTCGATCAGCGAGAGGGAGTGGGGCGAGATCCAAGGCCTCTTCGGCGAGGCCGTGTTCTCCGGAATAGTAGCGGCAGCCGCAGAGCGGAAAGCTGGCCGCATAGTCGCCTCTATTTCGTTCGCCGTCAGGCCCGCGGTCGCCCTCCCCGCCGCCTCTCCGAAGGCCTCTGCGAAAGCAGCCGCCCGTATCGGGCTCCGGAGGGCTCGAAAATCTGGCTGCGGAGTGCGAGTTTTCTTGTCGAGCGGCACTTCTATGTCGAGGTCGGCACAAACCAAGAAATGGTGCGAGGCCAGCGCCCGGCCACGGTCACTGTGCACGTCCGTGAGGTGCTGGGTCCAACCCTGTGATATTAGGGCGAAGTCGATCTGTCCAAAATTGTCTGGGGAAGGGTGGTCGCACGGCCGCTTGCCCACGTTGTAGCACGTGATCTGCTTCTCCGGCGGCTTGTGGAAAATAGTGTTCCCAATAAACAGCTTCTGGTTCACGCATAGCTCGGCGAGGAGGCTCCGATTGGACGAGGGGTTGTAGATCGCGTCCGGGACTCCGAATATGTAGGGCCCGATAATGTGCTCTTCGCCCGGATACCGGCGATGAAGCCGAGCGTTGAAGTCCCCCAAGACCAAGGCAGGGCCGTGCCGGGAGCCGCTGTCGATGAAGGAATTTAGGTTAGAGTAAAACTGCCGTCTGTCTTGGAAACTCTTGCCGCTATGGGGAGCGTACGTGGTGTAGATCATGATCTTGCCGCCTTTGACTCGCAGCTTCAGGGACGCCATCCGGGAGTCCTGTTGCCTGAACCCCACGACGGACGTTCGGATGCGCGGCGCGACGATGAAACCGACCCCCGCCGTCTCATTATCGTCTGGGTCCGACGCGCCGGAGAGAACGAGGAGAAATCCGGCATCAGAGACGGAGAACTCTGCCCCGGTCTTGCGTGTCTCCTGGATGCACATGACGTCGATGTTCATGGATGTCATGTGCCATTCAAGTTCTGCTTGCTTGGCCTCGGTGAGGCCCTCAACGTTCCAAGATGCTGTCCGGAGCCTCCGGGTGCACGGCCGCAGGGCGCCGCCTCGGAAGTGCAGTGCTTCGGAAGCCCGGGAGAGAGGAGGGGGGATGATTGCAGTAGTGCCGACTGCTGGTAAACATGCCTGGCAAGAATCGGAAGAGCGAATTCGATCATGGTTAATAGCCGCAGTAGGGCCGACTGCGAATTCGGGTGAAACATCGCTCATGTGCCGTGTTTCCTACTGGGGCCGTTGCCCCTTGGAGCAGCCCTTCGCGCCTCCTTTGAGCCCCTGCGTGGCCCGCGAGAGCAGGTCGTCCGACTTCTTCCTGAGGTCCTTGATCGAGGAGTGGTTGTGGAGCTCGGACCAAGTTGCCCAGTCCCCATGCCACTCGTAGTCCACGGTGCTGCCGGAGACGTTCACGGTAAGCGCGTGCTCGCCCCCCACCTTGAGCACGTACGGCGCCGCGTTGTTAAACGAGATGGTATACGGGACCTGCCACTCCTCCTTCAGAACCCGCTTCAAGCCCAGGCAGAAGTTCCTCGCAGCACGTTCGCTGGCAGCTCGGTCTTCCGTTGCCCAGACCTTCTTGCCTCCGCTGGCGAGGGCCGCACCACGAAGGAGTGCCACCGCCTGGTCCCGCACTGCGGTGTCAGAGAACTCGGCGAAGACGATGCCCTTTAAGTCGCCCTTGACGTACATGTTCGTCGGCGCAGGCCCCTTCAAGGAAGTGAGCTTGCCCTGCAACCAATCGGCGGCCTTCGAAAAGTCCCCGAAGTAGTCCAGATTGCCGATCACCATGGTGACCGCCTTCCTGTCGACCAGCGGGACGTTCTTGGTGAGAGGCGCCTGCTGCGAGGCCTGGCTCGCGAAGGCCTGCTGGATGCTCGCCCGGATCTTCTCGTCAATATCCGCGGCACTGGGGGGGTGCCTGCATGGCCGCGTACATGCTCTCAAGCTTCTCTATGCGCAGGTCTGCATCGATCAGCTTCGCATCCACGTCGTCCAAGCGGCCCACAAGGGAAGTGCCCAAGTCGGTAACTTTGCTGTCGAGCTTCATGAACCGTTTCTTAAGATCTGCCACCACCGAAGTCACGGGGCCCAGCTGCTGCTGAAGGAGAGCAGCGATTCCAGCCATCGTGACAGGCTCATCGTCCTTCTCCGAGGAGGCCGCGGCAGCGCCGAAATCCGGCTGGCGAAATGGTGGAGCGTCCCTCTCGGCTGGGCCGTCCATGTCGCCTCCAGGCATCTGCACGTACCCCTGATCCTCCGCGCGCATCTCGCCGAGGAGCGGGGTCGCTGGGGAGTCAGGGCCATGTCCAGAGCGCTGCTTTTTGGCCATGTTCTCCCAGGGGTCCTGGACGAGGTGCCCAACCGGGGTGCCTGGAGCGCGGGTGGAGCCACGGGCTGCTGGCGACGTCGGTGCTGCACTCGCCATGGCAAAAGCTAGCTGGAAGATTGAGTATGGAGAAGCTTGAGTATGGAGAGAGCTGGAAAGCCGACAGCACCCCAAAATGGCACCAGGCCCTTGAGCCTTGAGCCACGATTATTCTGAGAGGTGTGCTGCAGTGGGGGCGGTGGCGCCATGCGCCGACAACCACCCAGGCCGTAGGGGGGGGGGCTTCTCATGGGGCCACGAGCCTCATGATGGGCGTGGGGCACGGGTGCGGGGGAGGAGGAGGAGAAGGAGACGCGCGACGCTGCGGATTGAAAGCCTAGACTCAACTCGACACAGGGGGACTGGGGAATATGCGGAAACACCGCGCCCAGTTTCCAGCCCGCTGCTCCAGAGTTCCGGGACCTTTTCCCCGGGGAGCCGCTGCTTTCCATACTGGATACGTTGTTGATGGCCCTGGGGCACAACATCGGCGTCCATATGCCGAGATTGAACCGAAGCGCCGCCGTTGAAGCATCAATCCGCCGAAGGTTTGGGCCCTCTCTCTGGCCCTTTCATCGTTTTTCACGGACCCGCAACTGTCACTTTTCGCACTCGGAGGCTGAGGAGGGGGCGGGGAAGGGCGAGGAGGAGGGGGGAGACGAGAAAGTGGAGATGGAAGACGGGGAAAGGGTGGAGGGAAAGTAGGAGGGAGAGGAGGAGGAGGAGGAGGAGGAGGAGGAGGAGGAGGAGGAGGAGGAGGAGGAGGAGGACCTTGGATTCGCCCACCCACCGGGCCAGGCAATCCGGGGCTCCGCGCGGACCTCAGGTGCACCGACAGGGACGGCCAGTGGGTTTATCTTCACGTAGCGATCGCGCATCCCGCCTCGCAGCAGAGCCTGCAGGCCGGAGGGGCCCACACCCGAGGCACCGCCGCCAGACTGGCCGAACAGGCCAAGCGCCGCAAATATAATTAGCGGAGCCGCTGGTTTCCAGCCCCTCGGCTTTGAAGTCTCGGGAAGCATGGGCGAGTCCACCCGGAAATGGCTCGCACAGCAAGTGCCGGAGGGCCCTGGGCGTCAGGAGAACTCTCCACAGGTCCATCGCCACCTGCGTGTTCCGGGAGGTGGCGCGCACGCTCATCAGCGCTGCCTGAGGTGGTCGCCGGGCCAGCGAGCGCGCCTAACGCAGGGGTCTGGTGGCTCACGCCCCTGGGCCTGGAACCGGCGGCCTCTCCACGCCTGCAGGCACTCGCACGACGACAGCACTACGCTACGACGCGACCACAACCACTGCTGGAGAAGGAGGAGGGAAAGGGGCGCCGAGGAAGAGCGCCGAGGCCGAGGGGGAGCGCCGAGGAGGAGCACCGAGCCCAGCAGACCGGGAGGAGGATCGGCCGACGGAGGCCGCTAAGTAGCGCCTGGCCGGCCCGGCGCGCGGGCGGGCACGCCTTGGCCCGCGCCGCCAGACCCGCTCGCGGCCCGCTGCCCCGGAGCCTTCCTCGGACATGAGGGCTCTGGGGCGCGGGGGAGGAGGAGGAGGAGGAGGAGGAGGAGGAGGAGGA